AATGTAAGCCCCACCAAGTGAAATTCGGCTCTTCGGTATGAGTTTCGGCGGTTTTCCGTCCACACAAACAAACAATGTTGTACACGAGGCAGGAAGAGAGGGTGAGTACCAGTCAAATGGGTGGACTGCCAGGCTGTACATGATTTGTTTCAGAAAGCAAATGTATGTAGTGATGAAAAAGATAAGTGAAAAGCAGAATGTCCACACACACACACACACACACACAGAATTCATCTGGCGCCTCTGCGTAGTCTCACCGTCAGCATCCTCGATCTTGACCTCATTCGCGGTTCCTTCCATGTAGATGTGTTCGTGAGTGGAGGATGAAGGCAAATGAGTCAAAAGAATCACGCATCACATTCGTAAATATCACTAATAATAATGTACACAATGCTTGAAATGGTGTGTAGCCTTAAACAAGGTTCTCAGAATGCGAGTCGTAAAGTGCTACAGTTGTAACGAAAGACATAACAAGGAGGCAACTCAAGGGCTGACAATCATCCGATCATTTCCGACTCTTCGCCAGGCCTAGCCAAGACATCCGCCTTGGCAGACTTCCAGAGTGTAACTCTCTTTCAGCTTGGATTCGTCCATCTCAGAGAAATTATGTATTTACACTTGATGACACATCCAAGAGGTCGATCCACTGGCTTCCTTGAGTAGACGAGAAGGAGAAAACCGGATTGGTAGGAAAGTAAAAGAGCCCATCGGGCGTCGAGCATGATCGAATGTGGGTGGAAACAGAAACCATCAAACTTTGCTTTGATGCCTTCACAATCATGGTTAAAATGGAGCAGTTTCAGTGAAAATGTGTCGTTGTCTCGTTGACACAAGAAACATTCGAGGATGTTGGTTAGTTAACTTTTTTATCACAAGGTCAACATAAAGTGTAGGCTCACCGAAATTCGCCTATTTACACAAAATATTCATTATAATCTAATACTTTGATTTATGTAGAGGATTCACTGTTGCTGCGGGAGGGGTAAATCAAGCCCATAAGAAAATCCATCTGAAAAAGTCCTTGCATGCGCCACCGGCCGATTTCTTCTTGCATATTGCCATGCTGGACTGACGTTGAGGGGCAGATAACGGCCGGAAAATGGGTCACTTTGGAAGGAATGGCTGTTGGTCAGGTTGCTTGTTTGCTCACTCGTAAAGCCTGAGAGAGAAAAAAATTGGTACAGTTGGCTAAGCGTTAACAGGTTACAGTTAATGTGTAAGAGAGGCGGCAAATAGTGAGGGTGTATTGTCAAAACGTGCCGGACAGACGGTTTTTTTTGGGAGGGGGGCTAAACAGACGGAAGCGACTCACCAACCTTTTGTAGAAACCCTTTCGGCCTTTATTTGGGCCCAGACCTGTTTCTCGCATGACATGGTGTGTCTGCCTGTGAATTGGCTCATCTGCCCTGTTCTTCTTCGCCCCTTTGTGCTCCGGCCAACTGACATGAGTTCGGCGAGGACCCGGTTACTCGGCCAGTCCGAGTGTCGAGTCCGTCGAGCCAGTTCAGCGGCAGTACCAGCGCTACCCTTCGGTGTCCGGACAAAACACAGCCTCCCAAAGGCTGACGACACAGTCGCATGCGCGAATTCTCAAGTCAAGCCGGTTCGTCGTGGCTTGAAGGGGCTATTGTACCAGCATTGGGTGTACTTTAAGGTATGCATTGAAAGCAGACACATCTCGAATAATCTTCTAGTCAGCCTAGGCTGCATGAGGTGATGAAGGCGTGATTGCTGAGTTTTCCCACTTAAGATGGCTAGATCTTATGATACCATTTAATTTATCCTAGCCTTGCCTCCCAGAAGGTGTTCTCATACAGACTAGACTGAAGTCCATTCCGGATGAGAGTCCCTTTTTGGAAGCAAGGCAAGTGAAAATATCAATTTAATTAATATTTCCTCATCAAATTAATTGATTAATTTTTATACACTTCATATAATATTCATTTATATATTAGCTAATTT